GTCTCCCTTCCAACCTGTCCCCTTTCCCCCACCAAAAAAAGAAAAAGACAAACACAAATAAAATATCTGAGCGGAACTGTACCTTTGGCCCAGGCTGCCTCTGTCTGCTTTGTCCTGCCGCCTAGCATCCCGGGTATGCCCCCGATCTGGACCCTTGGCCCCCAGTTCCATGACCTTCTTCACCCCCATCTACGTTATCTTAACCCCTTTCACTCCTCAGCCTCATCCTCTCTGCCTTCCTAGCTTCGTTGCCCCATGACCACCAGCAGCTCGGAGGTCTGAGCCCCTGTTGAGCTTCCACAGAACTTCTTGGTCCCATAGTTCCCCTGTTGATGGATTCTTTCCAGAGAGTCCTTAGGTTCTGGGTCCTTTTGTCCTCATCCCCTGCCTTTTCTCCCGACCCGTTCCCTGTGTGGTTCCCTTCTGTCTGGGAGCTGAATTGCTCTCCTGGCATTAGGCTCTACCCTAGAGGGCTTGGGGATGGGCCTACAAACCCTCTACAGTAGGGGGTGGTGAGTTGGGGGGGAGGGGCCAGGCAGAGCTGGGGGGGGCATGGAAATGGGATTGGTTGTGGGCTTGGAGTGGGAGCTGAGTACATAAGGGGCCGGGCTGGAATGTGGAGGTCTGGTCAGGGTAGCCGCTGCTGGCCCACTGAACTTGTCAGGCCCTTTCTGGACACCTCCTTGCCCCTCTGCCTAGTGTGGCCCAAGACGGGCCTACTCCTTATCCGTTTCTCAGTTCGGAGCTTATCCTTCTCTCCCTCCCACCCTGAGGTGCTGAACCTGGGACTCCTTCTGTCTTTCTTTAGCTGTGTTGCTCTCTTCCATGGGTGTGTTGTGTGACTTGGCTCTCTCACTCTTGTGCCCCACTTGGCTTCTGTCTCCGGGTTGTATTTTCTCCCTTTGCACGGTCAGAGCTTCTTGTGTGCATTCAGTACCCTGAAGATTTTCAGTTCCCTGTCCGTGAACTCTCCTGCTGTTTCTTGTAAGTTTTCTACCCAACTCTGAACATACTCTTGGAACCTGTCTTGTTTACTTTGTATCTCTTGCCCATTGAGAACCTTCCTGATCTCTCTCAACACAATGCCATCTCTCCGTGTCTGTCTGTACACAGCTCCCCCCGCCCCCTCTGTCTAACATGTTTTCTGTTTCTCTCCCTCTCCCTGTCTCTGCTTCTGTCTTCTCTCTCTCTCTCTCTCTCTCTCTCTCTCTCTCTCTCTCTCTCCCCCTCTCTCCCTCTCTCCCTCTCCTCCCCCTCTCCCCTGGTCGTTTCTCCTCCTCCTCTTCCTCCTCCTCTCCCTCGCCCCCATCTCCCCTTGGTCCGTCCACTGCATAGTCTAAGGAGCTGCAGATCAAGAAGCAGTTCCAGGAGACGTGTAAGATCCAGACTCGGCAGTACAAGGCCCTGCGGGCACACTTGCTGGAGACCACGCCCAAAGCTCAGCACAAGAGCCTCCTTAAGCGGCTCAAGGAAGAACAGACCCGCAAGCTGGCAATCCTAGCTGAGCAGTACGACCAGTCCATCTCAGAGATGCTCAGCTCACAGGCGGTGAGGCCTGGGGTCCAGGGAGGGAGCGTGGTGGAGGCTGGCCTCTGTACGCCTGGCTTAGCTATGGGGAGTGGGAATGGGGGAGTGTGGACAAAGACGGGGCTTTTGTACTTGGGGGAAACTTGGATACTTTCCCACTGTTAGTATTCTCTGCCATGGTTTTATTGTCTCTCTTAAGTATTTTCTTAAGGTCTTGACAAAGCCAGCCTGACTACCAAGAACCACCAAGGAAAGAGTGGCTATAATTTTTTCCCGGGCCTGAGTTAGTTTAATGTGTTAACAGGGAGCAAATTAAAATGATTGTGGCCCTTGGGCTGATTTACTCAGACTTCTGGAGGATTTTGAAGATTGCTGTTCTCTAAGAGAGATCACACAACACTGGAATGGGCCAGTTAAAAACTACATATAGTGTAATAGATCAAAGTGCCCCTATTCATTGCCATTCTCTCATCCAATCCCACCTCTCAGAGGTAACTGTTCATAATTGTATTTTAGTTTTTTCCCTATGCATATTTGGAAAATTACACACAATTTTAAATGGAAATGGGATCGGATTGTACATACTGTTCTCTTCTTTTTCCACCTAATATTTCTTGGACATCTTTCCATGTCAGTACACCTGTCTCATTTTTGAAACAGCATAGAATTTTCCATGGTATGGATGTACCATAATTTCTTTAACCCATCCCTTATTGGTGGACATTTAGGTTGTTTCCAGTATTTTGCTATTACAACGCTTCAGTGAACACCTCCGAGCACATGTGCAAGTATACCTGGGGGATAAATTCCTGGAAGTGTAATTGCTGTGTCACAGGGTATGACGACCTTTCATTCTGATAGATGTTGAGACTGGCTGCTTCTTGAAACCTTAGGGCCCAGGCCTACCTGGGGCAGGGGAGGATTGTGGGGGTGGGGGAGGAGGCCCCTAAAATGAGTTCTTCCCGTTTGCCAGCTGCGGCTTGATGAGACCCAGGAGGCGGAATTCCAGGCCCTTCGGCAGCAGCTTCAACAGGAGCTGGAGCTGCTCAATGCCTACCAGAGCAAGATCAAGATCCGCACAGAGAGTCAGCATGAGCGGGAGCTGCGGGAGCTGGAGCAGAGGGTGGCTCTGAGGCGGGCACTGCTGGAGCAGCGGGTAAGGGGGCTCTGACACCAGGATGCACTGGGGAGGGCAGGCTCCCCATTTCCTGCCCCTGGACGTGCTAACCTCTCTTCTGGGTGTCCCAGGTGGAAGAGGAGCTGCTGGCCTTGCAGACAGGGCGCTCTGAGCGAATCCGGAGTTTGCTCGAGCGGCAGGCCCGTGAGATCGAGGCTTTCGATGCCGAGAGCATGAGGCTGGGCTTCTCCAGTATGGCTCTGGGGGGCATCCCAGCCGAGGCTGCTGCCCAGGGCTATCCTGCTCCACCCCCTGCCCCTGCCTGGCCCTCGCGTCCTGTTCCCCGCTCGGGGGCACATTGGAGCCATGGTCCTCCTCCACCGGGCATGCCCCCCCCAGCCTGGCGTCAGCCCTCTCTGCTGGCTCCTCCAGGTCCCCCAAACTGGCTGGGGCCCCCCACACAGAGTGGGACACCCCGTGGTGGAGCCCTGTTGCTGCTAAGAAATAGCCCTCAGCCCCTGCGGCGGGCAGCCTCGGGGGGCAGTGGCAGTGACAACGTGGGCCCCCCTGCCGCTGCAGTGCCTGGGCCTCTGAGCCGTAGCACCAGTGTTGCTTCCCACATCCTCAATGGCTCCTCCCACTTCTATTCCTGAAGTGCAGGGTGGATGAGCAGATGAATGGGACAGGGGCAGGGGTGGGTGGAGCCTGATCCTGGAGGGCTGTAAGCTTGAGGCCCACCCAAGGGTGGGGGACAGGATGTTGGCTCCAGCTCCCCTCAGACCTCCTCATCTCATGAGCTTCTTGGGCTGGCCAGTGGCCCAGGGCCAGCTTGAGCATCGGTGCCTCAAGGCTGACCAGGAGCCCCTGCCTCCCCACCATGGTGCCAGGGTCTCTCTCCATCACAGCCTCGGGAAAGGAGGGAGATGTGCGTGTCAAATATTCATCTGGTCCCCTGGGGGAGGGGAAGGGTGGGTCTAGATATATTATATTCAGAGAACTATACTACCCCGTGTAATGGGGCCGTGGACTGGGGATGCCAGGCCCCCCAGACCTGGGGTGTGGCAGAGCAGGTCTGGGGTTGGGGAGAACAGAAGGAAAAGGCCTTCCTAAGAAAGAAGGATCAGGATGGGGTCTTGGGGTCAGGTTGCCTGGTCTCTCCATCCCCCCCCCCCGTTGCTGTCTGACGTCCTGTGCCGTCTTGTCCTTTATCTTTTTTTTTAATTGAGATCAGAGCTGGGGCAGGGGAACAAGGGAAGGACCTTCGAAGGGGCTGCTCCCAGGCCTGGGGGCAGTCATGGGAGCCCCTCCCAGCTATGGGGTTGGCACAGAGCCCCACGGCAAGCTTTTAATAAACTGTTGGTTATTCTAACAGACCCCAGGACTCACCCTTTCTGTCCAAGGTGTGTATTAAGGACTGTTTGGCCGGAGGTGATAGTGTAACTTGTATTTAAAAAGGGAATTTATTGGGCTGTGTAACTAAAAATTTCAGTGATTTTAATGACTTTGGGCATGGCTGGATCCAGAGCTTTAAAGGAATTCATCAGTCTTTTGGCCTCTACTTCCCTTTGCTTTGGGCTTCAAAGATTTTCAGAAGGTTCACTTGTACACACAGGCTCCTGGCAGCTCCAAGCCTACATCTTAGCAGCAATCTCAACAGCAAGTATGCCAGCAAAGTCCTAAAGTGACTTCATTGGCTCAGTCTGTAGCCAGAGGCCTGAGGTACTCGGATTGGTCAGGTCTATGCCCCGTACCCGCCCCTTCAAGGCGAAAAGAATTGGCCCAGGGACTAAGTGGCTGTTTCCAGAAGGGGAGAAGGAAGACGTAAACACCAGCTGTCCCCAAGTCACTTCATTATGTTTCTCACATTTTTCTTAAAGCCAGTTATTCAGACCCTCCCCCCAGCTAGGCATGTAACACAGCTTAAAAGCAGGATGGTGAGGGCCCTGCTGGTTGGGCTGGAGGAAGCGGGGTAGGAGCCCCACTCTTTTTTGATAGAGCCCAATGGCCAACTGGATGGCAGGGTCTGGAGGCTGGGACTTCATTTGGAGAACCTGGGGGAAATAAAAGGGAACCAGACTGGGTGGGGACAGTGGCCACTCCTCACCTTCCTGGCCCAAAGTACAGGGAGTGAGGGTGGGGCTGGTTTTCTTTTTCTTAAGTTTTAAGTAAGCTCTTCGCCCCAAACTCAGCGACCCCAAGATCAAGAGTCACGTACTTCTCCATCTGAGCCCGCCAGGCGCCCCAAGTGGGGACCAGTTTTGATGAGGTGATTCAAACAACTCCTTTATTGAGTCTTAAACAATAAACCCCTGTAAACACCTTAAAACTGAGAACGTGAGAAATAGGATCCCAACAACTTGTGTCCCTGGGGGTGCAAAGTCTTCTCTGAAGAAAGCTGCTTCTGAAGCTCTGCAGGCACCGACTAGGATGGGGGCTGTGGGTGCTGGATCTGCTTTCTCCCAAGTGGAAAGCCTCCTGGGGAAGGGGAGGAGCTCAGTTACTCTCTCCATCACTGCTGATGATGCCACGCATATGTGACCAGTCTGGGGGTGGGGCACGGGGCTGCTCATCCTCTGAGCCCAAAGTCCGGCGGTATGGCTCCCCTGGGGCGTCTGCTTCTCCTGAAGGGTTCCAAGCTGTGCGTCTGCGTGGCCGGCCTGGATTGAGGGGCAGAAAAAGCAGGAGATCAGTTATCTGAGAAAATCCAAGCCCCGTCTCAGAGAGTGGGAGGAAACCCCTCACCTGAACCACTGATAATGTTGGTAAGGTCCAAGGAGGCCACCTCAGCCGCCTCCTCCCGCTGCTCCTTCAGGGCCCGGCACTTCTCTAAGGAAGGGTTACCTGGGGCAGAAGAGGCTGGTGATCCCCTCTTCCCCAGCCGCCCAGGCCCTCTCCTGTGGCCCCCAGGGCACATCCAGCCTCACCCTTCATGCCCAGGGCTTCCAGCTCTGCCCGGAGGACACTGAGGCGCTCCTTGTGTGAGCGGCAGGGGCCCAGCAGCTTCTTGTAGTTGCGATGGGCACCACAGGCCCGAATGTAACGCTTCAGCCTCATCACAGCTGGGTGGTCCTCACCACGGCGACCAGAGCCAGCCTGGCAAGGAAAGACAGCAGCTGAAGGCCAAACCTTCTGGACTTGAGTCAAGGTCTCCCTCTTCCTTAAAGGTGGCCTCCCACCCCATGGTCCCCCCTCATCACCTTCCTGCCTTTGGGTTCCGGACTGCCATCTGTGGACGAGGAGGAGGAGCTTCGCGTCCTGCCTTTCCTGGAGCTCTTCTTGAAAGAGTGGTTCTCCTTCTCCCCCTTAGGGCTACCCCCTGCCTCACGGTCACTCACCTCCCTCTCCGAGTCGCTCGCCTCCCCACTGATACTGCCCACTCTGGCTGTCTTTCCAGTGCCTTCAGTAGTTGGTTTCACCTCTCTGCAGCTGTCTTCCCCATCCTCGCTGCTTCCACTCTGCCTTTTCCCACCCTTCCACGGGGTCCCGTCCTTCCTCTTCCTCCGCACCAGGGGCTCTTCGTCTCCCCCGCTCTTATCCCCACTGCCTGCTTTTTCCTTTTCTCCCTCTCTGTCCCCTGACTCTCCCAGCAGTCTTGCTGCCCTGCTTTTCTGCTCCCAGCTCCTCTCCTCCCAAGCTGACTTGTTCCCTCCATTGCCCCGGGCTCCAGCTTTCCGATTCTCCCCCTCTTCCTCCCTGCTGTCTTTCTTTTTGGCTAGGGTGTCCTCCTCCTCCTCACTGTCCTTTTCACTTTCCTGGTGGCTTTTAGCTCCTTTCTTTCCCACTGCCTTCTTTCTTGTCCTCTGGATCGGTTCCTCCTCACTGTCCTCACCCTCCTCCCTGGCCTGCTTCCTACGGGCAGCGGTTTGGCCTGGTGCCTGCTTATCCCTTGTCACGGGTTCCTTCCTAACCCTGCCCTTAGACTCCTCCTCCTCTTCCTCCTCTTCCTCACTGCTCTCTTCCTTGGAGACCTTACTTGTTCTGGCAGAGCCCTCTTCCTCTTCCTCACTGCTCTCCTTGGCCGCCAGCTTCTCTAATCCAGTCTTTGCAGTCAGGCCCCTCTGCTGTTCTTCCTCATCATTGCTCTCCTCAACTGCTTTCTCTGAGGCTTGCTTTGGCCTCTCCCCCTCAGCTGGACTGACTTCTACTGCCGCCATCCCATTCTTTGCTTGGGGGCCAAAGCAGTCCGGACTGGAGGCTGCAGAGCTGGGCTCTGGAATGGGGAGAGAAAAGAAGGTTGGGATGGGTTCCTCCTGGCCCTTCTTCCCTGCACTTGGGGTTGGTTGCCTCTGACAGATGGAGGGAAGGACAACAGGAAACACAGCTATCAGTCAGCCCACCCCGTGCCTGGTTCCTGCCTCACTGGCCTCGTGCCCTCATCTAATGCTTTGGGAGATCATGCACGCACAATAAATACTTTTTTGAATGCACCAACTCTGCAGAAGCCACTAACCTGACTCCGAATTGAAACGGAACCTTTTCCTCACGGGGCCACTCATGGGGGTGGGAGGCCTCTTTGCCTTCTTGGCAAGATCTAGCCTCTCTTCCCTGGCACCTGCTTCATCCACCTGTGTGCGCGCGAGAGGGCAAAACGTGTACCGAGTTTGCGTTCCCTACCCCCTCCCAGGCCCCTCCTCCTCAGCAACAAACCCCGCCTCGCGCCCACACCTGCACCTTCAGCAGCTCCTTCTCCACCAGTCGCTTCAGCGCCTGCTTCTCGTCGGGTTCCAGGTGGTCGCGGCCCGCGTGAGCCAAGAACCTCCGCCGCACGATGGAGTGCGTGAGCGTGCTGCGGAGACATGTGTCAAGACGGAGCCCCCGTCCCGCCCCTGCCCTTTCCAACCCCAACTCTAGCCTCTAGAGCACCTGAGGTCCGGGCGGCCTCGGAAGAAGCTACGGATGAACTCCTGCATCTCGTTCTCCCGCGCCATTTTGCTCCACCTGGGATTGGTGGCTCCCGCCTTTTTTTCTCTTCGGCCTCCGTCACCGCGTTTGACAGGAGCTTGCGCACTCGCGGGGTCGTGGCGCCGTGGGAGGAGGGACCGTTGGGGGTTGGTCGCGGATCGCCTGGACCGAGAACTTTGCCAGACAAAGCTGCCTGCCTCAGGTAGTTGGAGGGGTTCGCGGCTCCTCCCTTTTCTTCGCGTCAATCGTTTTTTTAAAAATTCTCGTTAGAAACCGACTCGACGCCGGCAGCCTTCGGGTAACGTAATCAACCCGCGACACTGCCTCCGTCCGTGGTCACGGGCACTAGCTAGGCCGCAGGGATTTCGAAAGACAGATAAAAAAGGATATCCTCGCCTGAAGACTAGGAATCCCTGGGGGTAAAGTCTTGTGGCTTGCGATTATCCAGAATCCGCAAAGGTACCTCCGGCGTCCGCCATCTTTATGACATCATCGCGTCGCTGCGACGCCATCTTCAGCGTAGCCCCTGAAAGCTACGTTCTTTTCCCGGTGCGCCTAGGAAGGCAACCCTTGTGGTTAAGAGGCTTGGGCGCGGGGTACGCTGGGAGTTGTAGTCCCGGCGGACAGCCTTACGGAGTCTCCGGAAGCGGAGGCGTGAGAGGCGGGGTTGTGCGCAGGCTCTGGGTAGCGGGACGCCTGACACCTGCGGGGAATTGCTCCTGGGGCGGGTCATGAACGGGCCGGCTGACGGCGAAGTGGACTACAAGAAGAAATACCGGAACCTGAAGCGGAAGCTCAAGTTCCTCATCTACGTGAGTGCTGGGGTGAGAGGTTGTGGGGGTTGAGGCCTGGCGCTGGTAGGACCTCAGTTTACCCACGTGTAAAGGGAGCGGAGTCAGCTGTCGCCGGGTTCCGGGCCCCTTTACGGATGGCCGTTGGCTCAGCGTCCACCTTGCTTGTGATACAGGAACACGAGTGCTTCCAGGAGGAGCTGAGGAAGGCGCAGAGGAAGTTGCTGAAGGTGTCCCGGGATAAGAGGTGGGACACGGTGGGGGGAAAGGGGGAATGTCTGCGGGCGATGTGGCTTCTGTGGATCTACATTCGGACCCCGTCCTTGGAATTGGGCCACAGGTGCATGGCCCTGGCTTGGGGCTGTTGCGGGGACCCCTTGGACCACGTAGAGGGGACAGGGTCCAGAAGAACGTTGCTGAGATGGGAATAAACACTCTTGTTCTCCCCCACCTTTTCCTTTAGTTTCCTCCTAGACCGACTTCTGCAGTACGAGAACGTGGATGAAGATTCTTCTGGTGAGCAAGGTCATGAAAAATTAGTGGAGGAAGTGGCTCCTGGCACTTCGGCAAGCTTCCTGGGCCCCTCATTATAGGCTGCGGAGGCTGATAAAACCTCCAGTGGTTCTTAAATCTGTTGCTTACCCTTCACCTCTACCATTCTTTCACTCGAGTATTTTTTGCTTTGCACAGGGGATACAGTGGAATTTGCGTTCTAGCTGGGGGTAACAGGAAAACAAAGAAACTAGGATCTTAGATTTGAAAGGAATAAAATCAGGGTTGCATGGTAGTGATCGGACTAGAGCAGGGGTTGGTAAACGTTTTCTGTAAAGGGCCAGATAAAACATATTTCAGGCTTTGCAGAACTGTTGCAACTACCCAGTTCTGCTGTTGTAGTGCCAAAGTAGCCGCAGGTAATATGTAAATAAGTGAGCATGGATGTGTTTCAATAAAACTTTATTTATGGACACTGAAACTTGAATTTCATGTGATTTTCACATGTCATAAGTGGTATTTTTCCTTTGAGTCCACTCTCGCCCCACATTTAAAAACGTAAAAGCCGTTCTTAGTTTGCAAACGACGCAAAAGCAGATGACAGCGTCAGTAGAGCACTCCAGAAAAGCGTTTCTCGGGAAGGAATGTTTGAGCTGGGACCTAGGTAAGAAGCAGAAACCAATCTTGTGAAGATACAAGTGAGAGATTTCCAGGCAGAGGGAATGGCCATTGTAGATGCCCTGAGGTGAGAAGGGACCAGAGCAGAAGGGCTGAAGCGGTGTTTTCCAAACTTTGCTTTGAGCACTCCTTATCATGTCAGACCAAGGCCCCGCGGACATACTTGCTTATAAGACCATAAGATGAAACAGCGTTAAGGTCATCGTATATAATTTGTTCTGGTGGTTTTTAGACTGGGTTTTTTTCTTTTTTTCTTTTTTTTTTTTTTTAAGATTTTATTTATTTATTTGACAGAGACACAGCGAGAGACGGAGCACAAGCAGGGGGAGTGGGAGAGGGAGAAGCAGGCTTCCCGCAGAGCAGGGAGCCCGATGCGGGGCTTAATCCCAGGACCCTGGGATCATGACCTGAGCCGAAGGCAGACGCTTAACGACTGAGCCACCCAGACGCCCCTAGACTGCTTTTTTCTTTACTGTTTTGTTTTATTTTTTAAACTTAATGCTGGTTGCAGATCACTAAGTTGACTTCATGACCCACTAATAGGGTGAGACCCACAGTTTGAAAAAGTGCTAAGGTGGGCATTTGTGGTCCTATTCCAGCGTGGGGTCCTTATAACCTATGACATATATGATCACCTCTCCCCATGGTGCTTTTAAACACTGGTCTGGAGTGGGGTCAGCAGACAACAGCCAGCCAGGCTACTTGTTTTCGTAAATAGTGTTTTATTGGAACACACAATGGTCATTACTTTTATGTATGATGGGATGGTAGGTGATGGATGAGGTCAGAGAAATAGTCAGGAGCCAGCTCATGTGGGTCAAGGCAAACCGTTTGGCTTTTCGTCCTGCTTCTCATTGCCTGCCTGTTCCTTCCCTGAGGTCTTCCAGGTAACTTCCTGTTTGAGGGGAACTTCAGGACAGGAGCCATGAGAAAAAACAGTATGTTCATGGTCAGAGTGAGATAAATCTTGAGGAGGGAGAACCAGAGACGTAAGCCGCCACTCGTATCCTGGAAAAGCCCACCGTCTGGTCAGGGAGACACCCACACATCACACATCTTAGCACAATGTGAGGCGAGCCCTGACAAGTGAGAGTGGAGAGTTTTGGGGAGAGCCAGCAATTAACTGAGCCTGAGGGATTCTGGAAGACTTCTCAGAGAGGCAGTGTTTAATTTTGCTTCTTAAAGGATCTGAGCAGAGAAACTGGGGACAGCGTATATCCCGGGTATCGGTTATTTGGTAAATGAGCTAGGGGCCTTCTAAGTAGAAGTGCAGAACTGGGAGATAAATTTCTTTTTAGAGGAAATGATGTGACGGAAGAGTATGGTTTGGTCAGGAGACCAGAAAGGTAGGTTGAGACCAGATTAAGAAGCGTTCCAGACGTTCGCAGGCAGGAGGGGATGTCGCTAGGAAGGCTGGGACCCGCTTTCCAGATAGATCATTCTGGAGCTGGCGTGGACAGTGGGTAGCAGGAGAAGTGAGATTGCTGAGCCGGCGATTTTGAGGTGGTCTGAGGTGGTGGTCGTTGGGATGGGGAGCAGTGGAGAAACACCGGAGAGATGTGAAGGGTAGCTTAGCAGGACCCTGGACCTGGGGAGTGGAACAGAGGCAGGAGCTGAAGGCAGCTTAAGAGTGGCAGAAGATAGTGAATGAGCAGAGATGGGGGGTTCTCGTCCCAGCTCCACACCTGACTCTCTGAGCCTCAGTGACCTCGTCTGGAAGGAGGACATGATGCCCTCGCCTTCCTCCTTGGATGGTTATGAGCACAGGGAGCGAGGGTGAACTTTTCAGAGCCTAGCACGCAGTTAAGTGCTTGACAGTTGTGTTAATGAGGGAGGAGTCCAGGCCGGAGGTCAGTTGTAAAGGGCATTTTAGGAAGCTGTGGGCCTCCCCTGAAGAGCACGTATGTGCCACCTGGGGAGTCAGATTCCCTGGGGCCCTTCCACAGAGTGGAGATTGCACCTCTCTGGGGTAGGCTGGAGCCCCCCACCCTCCCTCTGACCAGTCCTCCCCCCTCACAGACTCAGATGCCACTGCATCTTCAGATAACAGCGAGACAGAGGGAACACCCAAGCTGTCGGACACGCCAGCCCCCAAGAGGTGGGAAGAAGCCATCGTTCTTCTCTGGGGGTGGGGGTGGGTGGGTGGGGGCACCTGGGCCTCCTAGCTGCCTCTGACAACCCCCCCGTACTTTCTCCAGGAAGAGAAGCCCTCCGCTGGGGGGTGCCCCCTCCCCCTCCAGCCTCTCCCTGCCTCCTTCAACGGGGTTTCCCCTTCAGGCCTCCACGGCCCCCTCCCCGTACCTGAGCTCGGTGAGTTGTCGTCAAGGGTGGGAAGCGGTAACTGAGCCGCCTGGGAGTAAGGTGGGCATTGTTGGGCAGACGGGCCTCAGGGGGAGGCCGGCCCAACTCTGGGGACATCTGTCTGGGTGTGGCAGCAAGCGTCCGCTGGAGGGGTGTGAGTCGGGGCTGCCCACTTCTCTCTGGTGTAGGAATGGGGGACAGGCGCGACTGAGGAGAGCAGAGCTCAGGACACAGTCCTGCTGCTGTCCCCTCCCCTTTTGTTCTCAGGAGCCACACTCATCACCACCTCTTGTTTTTCCATTCCTCCTCCTGTTTGCGTTTCTTCCCTCCCCCCCCAACCCCATCCACTCCATTTCCCATCTCCATCCCCTCACTCCTGCCTGCAGCTGGCTTCCCCCCCCTACCCCCCATTCCCTTCTGACTACCTGGCCCTGCAGCTGCCCGAGCCCAGCCCCCTGAGGCCCAAGCGGGAGAAACGGCCCCGCCTGCCCCGGAAACTCAAGGTACCCTGATTGGGGGATGTTAGGGAGGGGCCAGAACGGCAGGAGGACCGCCACCTGAGGGAGGCTCCAGACGGGCTGGGGCCTGTCCGAGAACTTCCAAGGATTGATTTGGGGCTGCTGGGGGCCCAACCTAGGGCTAGGAGCTGAGGGGTGGGTCAGAGATGTCTTGGCCCACAGGCTTGATGTGGAGAAGAATGAGGGCAGGACCACCCTTGGGGCACGCAGAGCTAAGACTCATTGTTCACAGGTGGCCTGTGATGCCGGGCAGCCCCAGAGGACAGGCAGAGTTGTGGAATCTGGAGTGGAGTCAAGATTCCACCAGTTAAAAACCATGTGACGTAGAACAGGTCTCTTTGGCTGTCTAGGTCTCCTCTTCTGCATCTGTAAATGAGTGATCAAAGCACATGTAGCGAACGAGTGTTTCTGGAGCACCTGCTGTGTACCAGGCGCTGTTCTAGGTGCTGCAGATGCGGTAGCGAACAAAACACAAAAATCCCCGCCTTCACGAACCTCCCATTCTAGCAAGAGAGGTGGAAAACAGACAAGAAAAGTTAGGTGCCAGTGCTGAGAAATGGGGCCAGGTAGAGAGGGTGGGAAGCCCCAGAGTAGAGAGGGGCCGGCATTTTGGGGTGGGTGGTCTGGGACATTATTTGGTCAGAGGCTTAAAAGAAATGAGAAGCGAGCATGTGGCTCTCTGAACAGGTGTTTCAGGGAGAGCAAGCAGTGCAGAGGCCCCCAGGAGTGCGTGTGTCCACCTGTTCACGGACCAGGAAGGAGGCCAGTGTGGTCAGAGGCAAGGGAGGGGTCGGGGGTGGTGGTAAGCAGGTGAGAGAAATAACCAGGGGGGCAGGATGGTGGAGCACCCTCTCGGTGTCACAGAGACTTCGCTTGTACCGTGAATGAAATGGGGAGCCGTTGCAGGAGGTCGGGCAGAGGGGAATCTGCTCTGCTTTATGGAACTCACAGCTGTGTGGAGAATGGACCGGGGAGGCACTAGGTCAGGATGCAAGTGGGGAGACCCCCCCCCCGCCCCAAGGAGGCTCCTGCAGTAAAGCAGGTAGAGTGCCGAAAAGTGGCTGATGCATCGATTTCAAAGATGGAGCCATGGGAAGACCAGCGCGGGCTGTGGGAAAGAGCAGAGCCCAGGGGCGGCTCCAGGGTTTGGGGCCCGAGCAACTGAAGAAGAGGGGTAGCCTCCCGCTGAGCCCGGGAGGTCCGGGAGGAGCAGCTGTGGGAGGGAAGACGAGTTGGGACACGCTGAATGCTGTCTGGAAAGGCCAGCGAGATACAGGAGGCCGCAAGCCTGGGGCTCGTGGGGTGCACTGAAGTCCTCAGCGTGGAGGCGGGTGTGATTGTTGGGGGAGAACGTGGCTGGAGAGGGGGGGAGAGAGGCCTGCGCGCCGAGCCCTAGGAGAGAGTAGGGCCCAGGAGGCCCAGTGCCCTTCCAGCTCCGAGTCAGTGGAACTGGGACTGGATAGGAAGCTTCCACGGTGGGTGGATGGGAGCCAGAGGCGAAATGGGAGGTCACGTTTGGGGTGGTTAGGAGTGCTGGTTCGGGGTTCAAATCCCAGCTCTGCCGCTTAGCCTCCATGTGACCTTGGCCCCGCACTCTCCTTGGCAGGCTTTTGCTTCTGGCCTGTAGGGCGGGATGGTGCGCAAGGCCGGGGGCGGGGAAGCCTGGAGCCGATGGGGGGAGGCGTGGCACGCGTGTGGCATTGCTGCGCGAGGCTGAGGTGCTGGGTCCTGACGGAGAGGTGACGGGGAGCTGAGTTGTGGCCATCAAGGAGAGAGGAGGTTGGTTGAGAGAGGGGCCCAGATCAGTTGCTGTGGTGGAGGAGGGGGTAAATCAGGGAAGGCCTTAAAGAAGAGGTAATATCTGAGCCCAGGGGAGGTGAGATTTGGAAAATGCAGGCTCAGCAAGAGTGGAAGGAAGATAGGGACCTGGCAGAAGTGTTGTTTGGGCTGACGCAGGAGGGAGAAGAGAGAAGGACGGCGGACAGAAACATAGGGTGAGGGGGGATCACAGAGGCCTGGGTGCCCAGGGCCAGGAGGTCCTTGTAAAGGGGTGGGGGTCACTGAAGTTTCTGGGTGGCTTGATCTGAGGAGCCAAAGGACAGCTGTGAAGACAGGAGCAGGTCAGTTAAGGGCCTGGGCCCCAGTCAGATGGAGTGGGTTTGAGTCCTCCACACACTTCCCGTGTGACCTTGGGCGAGTCATTTCACTTTCTGAGCCTCAGCTTTCTTTTCTGTTCGGTGGGGTCCGTGTAGAGTAAAGTTAAGTTCAGGAAGAGAAAACACACAGCCCGGTGCCTGGTCCCTCGTAAGCTGTGGCTGAACAGGAGGTGCTTTTGGTGACACAGAGGCCATTGGGGAAGGCCAGGAAGGGGCGGGGCGTAGGGACTAGGGTGGAGGTCCAAAGGTGGCAGCCAGAGGAGGGGGGCTGTCCTCACGGAGCTGGGCCTCTTGTCTGGCACCAGTCCTGGCCAAGTCCTGTACCCTGAGGCACTGACCAGGAGGTAAAGGCCCACTCTGGCCCTCCACCACCCCAAGGACAGCAGCGGGGCTGGGGGCTCCTGGAGAGGCAGCTGGTAGGCCATGAGGGTGGAAGGCATGAAAGTAGGCCCCGGGGGCCACTGTAGAGACACACGGAAGCGCTTCCTGCCGCCGCCACCTGGGGCCAGACGGGACCTGCCCGGCGGGGACCCAGCGGGCACCCAGTGGGCACCCAGCGGGCCTGTGCTTCGGAGTCTTCATTTGCGAGTCTCAGATTCCTCCTCTGGCCCGTGACCTTCCCTCCCTTCCAGGGTGGTCGGAACGGGTGTTAATGGCAGTCACCTGGCACGTAGCAGGTGCTCAGTTTGGGCCCACAGAGCTCTCTGGTTGGGGTGGGGGGGGAGTCCTGGCAGGGGGCGGGGGCTGGAGGGTTGGGCAGGACAGAGGCCACGTCCCAGCCTCAGAGGACAAAGCAAGACTTTTGATGGCTAGAAAAGGATACTTCAGGTGGAGGGGCTGGCCTGTTGTCGGGCGCAGCTTCCCGCCTGTCCCTTGAGTGGGGGAATGACACGCTCAGGTCTGTGTTTTAGAGAGCTCACTCTGGCTGCAGTGTGGAAGAGCTGACTCTGGGAGAGGCTGAAGGCAGGGAGTCCAGTTAGGAGGCTGGTACCGTAGCCCAGGTGAGCTGCGGGGGTCCCCAGACAGAAGAGGTAGAAGCCTCACCCGGCGGGGGGGGCGAAGGCCCAGGACAGCGTCCAGCTCACCAGTGAGTCCCGAAGTAGGCGGGAGAGGCCGGCGCCGGCAGCTGTGGTCCGAGGTGCCCAGAGGCGGGCAGGCTGGCACTGCAGGCTGGCTCTGACCGCCCTGACCGGCTCTAAGTGCTGTCACGGGGGCAGCCAAGGGGCCTCCCTGGAGAGGGCGGGGTCCGGCCGTCCCTTCCTGGTTTCCTGGGAGATCCCCCACCACCACCACCACCACCCCCCTCATCACCGCCTCCATCACCACCTCTCACCTGCAGGCATTCGTGGGGTGAGATTCAAGGGGCTGAGGTGAGGCAGGCCCCCCCCACCCTGATTCCAGCATTGGCTGGCCCGGCTGTGTCCACTGCCCCCGGCATGAACCTTCGCCCCCCTTCCCTGTCCCCCAGAACTGCCTTAAGAGGCCCCTGCCAGCCTTCTGGAGGTCCAGTGCCTCCCTGACCAGCCCTCCCTGTGTTTCTTCCCCCTGCTGCAGATGGCGGTGGGCCCCCCCGACTGCCCTGTGGGAGGGCCGCTGACCTTCCCAGGCCGGGGCTCGGGGGCCGGGGTGGGGGCAGCCCTGGCCCCACTGCCTCCACCCAAGATGCCTCCCCCCACGATCCTGAGCGCCGTCCCTCGGCAGATGTTCAGCGATGCGGGCAGCGGGGACGATGCCCTGGACGGGGATGACGACCTGGTGATCGACATCCCGGAGTGACCCCATCTCTGGCCGAGCCCACGCCCCGTGCCTGACGCCAGCACACACGAGCCCCCAGCTTCCGCAGAGACGTTTATTGACGCCCAGTTGCCATGCTGCGGCCACTGACACAATCAGAAGAGGCGTAAACATGCACGGATGTCCCCTGGGAGGTGGGTCCCCACGGGGGTGGGGTTGGGGGGGAGGGCAGAGGCCCTGCCCTCCCGTCCTGGCTCCATCCAGGGGACAGTTCTTTAAATGAGTGGCCGGGAGCATCTGCCACCTCTGGGAGAGGCAGAGAGCCTGCGGTGGCCCCCGCATTTAAAAGGGCAGCTGTACAGGGCTAGGTTGGTTGGTTGGTTTTTAACGAAGATTCTGTATTAAAGTAGTGGCTCTTTTTTTTTGTTTTTGTTTTTTGTCCTTCTCTTTTTTGGAGACATTCCCCTCCTCCGAACCCCCCCGAATCCGACCTCCTCCCTGTGGGCCGAGGGGGACGGGGCAGCCTGGAGGGGCAGGAGAGAGGCGTGGCGGCCCCCTGCGGGCGTGCCCTGGGCCGGGTGTTTGCATATCTGCGAGGGAGCGAGTCAGGCAGGAGGAAGTTTGCATATGTGAATATAGATGTCCACGGCCCCTCATGAGAGGACAGACCCACGGTCACGGAGACTCACAAAATAAGACAGGTAGTGGGGGGCGGGGCATCCACCCCGTGTAAACGTGCAACACACTCGTGCGGAGGTTGGGTCCTGGCCCCGCGGGGCCCATGCCGGGCAGCTGCCGCCCACTCAGGCTGAGGGCAGGGCCCCGGCGGCGGGGGGCAGCTCACTGGTCAAGGTGTGCCAGCGCTCCAGGGCTGCGTCCGGCTGCTGCAGACAGTCACTCCAGTGCTTCCGGGCCTCGCCCCGGGCCCCGGGTCCCAGGGACACGCCACCTGGGAGGCAGCAAGAGGCTGGCACCGTCAGGGCCCATCTCTGCCAGCCTGCCACCCCCGACCCCCCATCATCGGCTCCACCCGGCAGCCTCATCCCTCACCGATGAAGTCGTTGGATTTGCCGATGTCGTAGTCCCACACTGTAACTTCCAGAGTCTTGGTGGCCAGAGCAGAGAGCTCCATCTTGTAGAAGAAGTCCTGGGGCAGGGCAGGCCACAGCTTCCGTGAGGCCCCGGCCCCAGGCCCAGCCCTAGCCCCAGCCTCCACCGCCCCCCGCCCCGCTTACCTCATTAAATTCCGGATTAAGAGTCTTCTTCTTCACACAGGTTTTATGCTTGGATTTCTTATCCACGTCAGGCCTCAGGTACCTGTAGAGGAGGGCGGGGCGGTCAGGGACACATCAGGCCGCGGAGGAGGTCAGGCTCCCAGGGGAGGGAAGGGTGGGCTCACGTTTTGACGTAGGGGTCAGAGTAGCCGTTGACATCCATGGCAGCCAGGTGGGCGCAGCGCACGATGCCCACCAGCAGCCCCCGGCGCCGAGAGCTGTAGCTAAGACTCAGCAGGATGCGCCCGCGCTCTTCCAGCAGCCCGGGCCCCTGCTCGGCCTGCTCCAGCTGTGGGGCAGACTCGGGATCAGCCTGCATCCCCGCCACCTCCCACCCAGACGCGGTCCCTGTGAGGTACCTCACCTCCTTCAGGTAACAGGAGATGCCCCTCAGTGCCGCTGACATGGAGGAGGGTGAAGCCAGCTGAGGGGACGAAGAGAAGGTTCTGGAAACCTGGCCTCCCCAGGGCTGCCGCCCCGCCCAGCACCCCCCCACCCCCTACACAGACCGGGACCTGGCGCTCAAGGCAGATGTTAAAATGTTTCTTCTGTGAAGGCTTGAGGCGGCGGAGGGGTACTCGGATCTCCCCGATGAATTCATTGTGGCTCAGCTTGTCCTCGTCACAGACGGAGATCCTGGCGGGGAACTGCAGGGTCAGGGCCCCCTGGCATACCTGAGCCTGCTCCGGTGGGGGAGAAAGGTTCTCCAACCGAACGCGGAGCACCTGAAGCCAATCCCAGCTCTGCCCTACTCTACGCCTCACCTGTCTCACGGGCTGTGTGGCGAGCCCCAGCCTGGAGCGTGAGGAGGATGCTGTGATTTGCCCCGTCCCGCTGCCCCACCCTCTCCAGCTGCCCCGGCCACCCCTGGTCCATCGGGACCCATGCAGCTACTTCAGGAAGCCCTCACGGATCCTGAGGACCGCCACCCTCCACTGCCTCCATTCAGAGCCTGGGGATGGGATCCAACTGAACAACGTGCCCAGAGCAGGCATTGGTGGCTCTGGGCACTCTGTGTACAAGGGCTGGAAGCGCCTTGAGGAGCCTTGGGCAGTCGGGCGAGGATCCCACGCCTCCTCTGGGGAGAGACACATGAGCCCAGCAATTAAGAAATGACAGCTTATAGCCATGGTGGCTCAGTCCATTAAGCGTCTGCCTTCGGCTCAGGTCATGATCCCAGGGTCCTGGGATCGAGCCCCGCGTCGGGCTCCCTGCTCCGCGGGAAGTCCGCTTCTCCCTCTCCCCCTGCTTGTGTGTACGCTCTCTCTCTGACAAAATCTTTAAGAAATGATTGCTTTTAGTTCTGTTCATCCCCTTCTGCAGCACTTTCCATGGAAGAGACACAACAGGTAAAGGTCAGGAGTCTTGAAGCTGACCAGCAGTAGGAGGAGATATTTGGAGGGCCTGCTGCTGAAGGGGGATGGGGAGCCAGTGATTGTTCTTGAGCATCTGAGAGGGGCTTAATGGGAGGCAGATCAACCAACCAAACAAGGTGGCAATGACAGCTCCCAGAGGAGGTGCTGAGCTGGAATCCTCAGTAACAAGGGGAATGGAGCCCTCACCTGAGCACCTTGTGGGTAATGTCATCATCCGCTTCCTTCTGTCCTGACACTCCTGAGGAGCTGTCATGGAGGGCTGTTCATTTCCTACCTCTGCCACCTACTAGCTACCTATATGACCTTGGCCAAGTCACTCCACCTCCCTATGCCTCAGTTCCCATCTATAAAACGGAGATATGAGCACCCACCTCCTACAACTATCAGGATCAAGGAAAATAAACGTAAAGGCGCATAACCCAGGGCTGGGCACCAGTGCGCACTCGGCTACTCAGGCCTAAGGCGCTCACATCTGAAAGATGGGCCAGCCTTCCCGGTGTCTTGCCTCTGTCCACCCCGCCCCCCGCCCCGATCCCCAGTCAGCTTCACAGCCAGCAGAATGATCTCCAAAATCCAAGGCTGACCAATCCCCCCGCCCCAGTGCCAACCCTCCCCTGGCTTCCCCATTGCCAAGAACACAGCTAAAGGCCTCACAAGCCTGGGCTGTGCTGCCCTTCAGTTGGGCCAGGGATTACAGTCCCCACAGCTCCACCTCCTGGGATGATGGAGCAAGTTCTCTGTCCCTGAAGACTTCACTCCTTAGCACGGGATGTGAGGGGGCCACAGGCAGAAGAATGGGCAGACCTCTGCTACATAGGTCTGACACGTCGGGGGGGCGGGGGTTGGGGAGGGCGCTCGGCAACCAGGGAAAGCTTCCAGGAGGAGGCACGGCGGGGAGCACTTTCCATGGAAGAGACACAACAGGTAAAGGTCAGGAGTCTTGAAGCTGACCAGCAGTAGGAGGAGATATTTGGAGGGCCTGCTGCTGAAGGGGGATGGGGAGCCAGTGATTGTTCTTGAGCATCTGAGAGGGGCTTAATGGGAGGCAGATCAACCAACCAAACAAGGTGGCAATGACAGCTCCCAGAGGAGGTGCTGAGCTGGAATCCTCAGTAACAAGGGGAATGGAGCCCTCACCTGAGCACCTTGTGGGTGATGTCATCATCCGTGATCCCACTGTACGTCAGATCCTCATTCCACACGGGATTCAGCGTGTTCCTCTGAGTCTTAGTTTTTAGCTTATTGGCCTGAGGTGTGGGGACGAAGGTTCTCAGTCCACGTCCCCCAGACCCATGGAGGCTGAAGGCAGGGGAAGGTTGGGGACAGACCCACAAGCCGGCTCAGGCTGGGGGAGGGAAGAGGCCGTTACCTTGCAGGCCCCAGGCAGCAGGTGTAGCTTGACATAGGGGTCAGCCAGGCCATTGAAATCCATGGGCTTGAGGCCCTGCAGGGGAGGGGAGGGAAGAGGGCTGCAAGCTCCCAGCCCTGCCTCCCTCCCTCCCTCTGCAGAGTGGATCCTCAGGGTGTGGAGAGTCAAGAAGAAGGGTGCTGGGGGATAGGGGTGGGGGGGGAGGAGGAGGAGGGGTCCAACCTGGGGACCTGGAAACAGGCAAACGGGGCCAGGGCTTGGGAGGCAGGGAGTACCCACCTTGGCCCTGAGGATACTGCAGTGCAGAGTGCAGGAGGCCTGGTCGTAGAGAAGGTCAAACTCCAGCATGCCCAGGGCGGCTGGAGAAGAGGAAAGACCAGCGTGAGGCAGTGCGTAAGGACAGGTGTGTGTGTGAGAGACCCGTGGGCAGGCTGGGGAAGGTGCGCACGCCTGGGCGTCTGGCGGCCTGCGAGGGAGGGTGCGCGCGAGCGTCTGGGTCCCCGGCTGGGCCGCAACTGGGGCTGTGTGGGTGGTTGAGTGTCTCAGCAGAAATATTGAATATTGAGCCTTTCGGAAACTGTAATCTCCACGCTGACTGCAGCCCTGGAGGCAGAGCCCGCCTCCCCCAACACGCCCAGCAGGGCCCCAGCCCCTTTCCACAGCCCGGAAGCACCCCCCCCCCAGCCCCCAGACTCACTGGTATCATCCGAGTCATAGCTGTCCACCTCCGCTCCGTCCTCGGGCGTGGTGGCCCCAAGGAGGGCTGCAGGCGGGGCCAGGGCCAGGGGTGCCAGGCGGGCAGGGGCCTCCCTGAAATCCCTGCCCCCGCCTTCGGGTCCTGGTCCCGGGCGGGGGAAGTAGTCGGAGATCTGCCGGATGGGCCGGATGGGCCCAGGGCACACGTTGATGGCCATGTGCTCCTGGATGTTGATGGTCATGCGGTCGCCCCTGCGGCCCCTCATGCGGCACCCTTGGCTGCAGGAGGGAGGTCCAAGAGAGAGTGAGCCCCAGGCGGACTCCTCGTACCTGCTGCCTGCTGGCTGAGGGCCAGGCGGCAACCTCCCCAGTTGGCGGGGCCCTCCCTGGCTTCCCTTCCCAGGTGTGGAGGGAGAGGGTGGCCTGGGCCAGCTGGTGGGCAGGCAGGAGGCCTGGGCCCTCCGGACCCCAGCTTCGCTGCACCGGGGCTGGGCTGCCAGCCCAACTCCCCCAGATAGGTCCTGGCTCCACCTCGGCCGTGCCCACATACCTTTGGACAGTTCCTGATGCCATCTTCCCAGCTCCTGCCCCTCATCCTGGGATGCCGTCCGCCCCTGGGCCCTGCCTACCTCTGAAGCAGCCCCGCAGGCCCCCTCCTCTGCCTCTCCTAGGCTCTGTCCATCCCTCTGCACCAGGGGCCTGTCTGGGCCGGGTGTCACCCACCCCTTTAGGCTTTCATGGCCCACTGTCCCTTCATTCAGCCCCAGGATCGGCCTGCCTGCCTGCGTGCCTGGTCCCCCCTACCCTGCAGCCCCCCGCGGGGAGGCCCCCCCCGCCCCCCCACCCCCGCCCCCCGCCTCGGATGCCTCCTCCTGAGACTGCCTCTCCAAGAGGAGCCAGAAATTGCAGCCTCCAGGGAGCTAAGCACGCCGTGGGCTCACAGGCTCTCCCTCACCCTCACGCCCCCGGCGGCCCAGCCCTCTGCACCTGTGTCTGTGCCTCCAACAGGTGCCCAAGCCCTGGGGGGGGCGGCAGGTACAGGCTGGGCGGTGGCGGCCGGCGACTCCCGCGGCGGCCAGCGAGAAGAGCGCGGAGTCCGGCGGTGAGAGCCGAGAGGGAGGGAGGGAGAGCCGGAGAAAGTGCGGGGAGGAGGGGGTGAGCGAGGTGGAGGCGAGGAAGCAGGCGGCGCAGGCGGCGGGGGGCGGGGAGGGGCGGCCCGAGGCTGGGGAGGGGGCGGGACTCTCCCGCCCGCGCCCGCCGGGCACAGACCGGGGCGCACGCGAGTGCACACCACACACACCACACGCACACACACGCACACACACACACACCCCCACGGGCACTCCCGCGCACACGCCTGCGCCCACGTGGGCACGCTCGCACACACGCACTAACCCCCCGCGGAGAACTTCGCCGGCACACTCTCGCAGACACACGGGCTCCGTGCGCCACCGGGAACCAGCGGCGAGAATTGCCCGGTGTTCCCCAACTCCCCGGAGACCCCGGGCCCCCGCCCCTGCCCCCGCGCCGAGCCCGCGGCGCCGGCCTCCCCGGCCGTCTCCTCGCTTCCCTCTCGGGTCTGCGGGGCCAGACCACCCGGCTGGTTGCCATGGCGACGCCTGTTCCCCCTCCTCCTCCTCCTCTTCCTCCTCCTCCTCCTCCTCCCCCGCCCCCCGCACATCCTCACGCCCCTCCCCCACGGAGAGAGCGCGGGGGGAGGGAGTAGGCTGGCGGGCCTTCCCCTCCCCAGATCCGTAGGGGCGGGGCTTAGAGATCCGCAGTGACCCCGGGGGCGGGGGCGGGGCAGGCGCAGGGGATCTGATCGGCCCGCTCTCGCTGGCCTGGGATCTGGGGGTCTCCGAGCCGGGGGCCCGGGAACCTCACAGTCTGAGGGAGGCGACAGGTCCGAGGCTGTGGCTTCTCCCCCGCAACCCCATGCCTCTTCTCTGTAGCTGTTCAGGCGTCTCTCCTGTGGCCCAACTCAGCCCCCAAGGGCCGGGGTCCCCTCCCTCACCCCACCCCCTGCCATCTCCAATTATGTCCGTCAGGTGGGGAAGGGCGTCAGGCTTCCTTCTGAACGCCCCGGAGCCTTGCAGTTCAGTCCCTCACCAGTCTGCCATTTCCCACCCGAACCCTGCCATCTGCCTGTCGAACTCCAGCCTTGGACCTTTGTTCTTCTTTGCCCCAAACCCACCGTCCCCCCAAGACAGAGTCCTCACAGTGGCCTTTAAGGCTCTTCGGCCCAGGACCCTGACTTCTCTGATCCGTGGCTGTCTGGCAGGAACGTTACTTGCAGTTCCTAGAACACACCTGGATCTCCGAGGCCTCTGGACTTTTGCTCACAGGACCTCCCTGGCCTGGAAGATCTTCCCTTCCTTCGGGAGTAATCCTGGGTCACATCTTCCTAGCAGTCTTCCTAGAGTATCCCCACCCCACCTCCTAGCTTCCAATGCCCTACCTTAGGCTCCGTTCTCCGGCCTGTTTACATTTCTGTCTCCCCCACCACCAGGGAGTGCCATGGAGGCTCCCGCAAGCTGGGCCAAGCCCTCAATTGGCACCCCGAAGTATTGTGATTTAAAAGTAAGAGAAGTGTGGTTGCACAATAATGTAAATGTACTTAACACTACTGAACCGTATGTTTGCAAATGGTTAAGATAGAAATACTATGTGTGTTTTTTTTAAATACACGATTTTTTTTTTTAAAAAGAGAGAGAAATGCAAAGTCAAACCACACTGAGATAGCACTTATCACCTACCAGATGACAAAACTCAAAGCATCTGTTAACACAACAATGCGTGCAACACTGTGGGTAAATGGGCACCACCTCTGCGGAGACCATTCTGATGTTGGATACCAAGATGACAAATACACAGACTCTTTGACCCAGAAATTCTACTTCTAGGATTTTATCCTACAGATATGCTGGCCCATGAGCAAAATAATCAAAGTTCAGGGTTCTTTAATGCAGCATGTTTGCAATGACAAAAGACGGGAAACAACCTAAATGTCCACGAGCAGGGGATCAGTTCAATCAGTTCTGACACAGTTTGAAACGGTGAAAGAGTATGCAGCCACAACAAAGAAAGAGTCCCTTGTACTTGTATGCGCACACTTGTACAGAGCCGTCTTCCCAATCGCAGCTTAACCTAAAAAAGTAAGGCACAGAACAGTATGAATGGAATGGGGAGAAAGGAGTTTATATGTGTTCGGGGTTTTTTTTGTGTGTGTGTGCATAACTTATCCTTGGAAGGCTGCCCAAGAAAGTGGTAACTACATCAAGCTCTGAGGAGATTGCTGGAGGGTAGGGTAGGGCAAGAATAGGAAAGTCTTATTTTCTATGCTTTTGTACCCTTTGGATTTTGTACCATTCGCCTCTGTTCCCTATTCAAAAGGATACATTAAAATAATATCTATTTAAAGGCAACCGTCAGGTTTCCTTTGGGGCTATCCAGGATAAGAGAGGAGGCAGGACCAAGGGAGACCCCCATCCAGGACCAGAGCTGGTGGGTTTGGCAAGAGGCAGACGTGGGCCTGCGGGGAGCGGGGGGAGCAAGCTGGCCAAGAAGTCCTGCCCTCCTCTGCTGCTGCCTGCCCGGGGCTTAGCTCAGGCCCAGCAGCACGCCTCCAGAAAGTCTTGTTGGGGCACGGTGAGGATGAAGTGGGAGCTCGAGCCAGTTGCGGGGCAAATGGCAGACAGTGCTGAGCCCTGGCTTGTGGAAAGGTTTTTATCCATCCACTTGGCCAGTATTTATTGGACGCCTACTATATGCTTTGGTGCAAGTCTGTGACCAAGATCGGTGATCTGTAGCTCCAGGGCCTTGTAGGGGAAAGAGACAGATAGACAAACAATTCCGATGCAGTGATAGGATAGATAGGGCAGGATCCAAAGGCCATGGGAGTTCCCCTCCTGCGCCAAGTGTGGTCTCAACTGAGACTCGGAAGATAGGAGAAGTTAGCCAGTTCACGGGTGGGGGGGCAAGTGTGTCCTAGGCAAAGACTGGAGTGTGCAAAGACTGGAGTGTGCTGAGCGAGGGGGGCCGTGCAAGACCTGAGGTGGGTGGGTGGATGGGGCTGGGCAAGAGGCTTGCAGCTCAGGGTAAGAAGTTCATAATCACACAGGCACCAGGGGAAGCCATTGGAGGGGTTTTAAGTCATGGATCCTCGTGTTCTGATTTGTTCTCCTCGAGGGAGGAGTGAACAGAGAGAAGTCCCCCAGTCCACAGGCTGTTGAAATACCAGGGGAGGAATGGGGTTGACTTGAAAGAGTGGCCGCAATGGAGCTGCCAGGGAGGCGGATGGATTTGAGATTTATGTTGGAAATTGAGCCAACAGGTCTTGATGACGGCTCTGTCAGGACAGAGAGAGGAAGGAGGATTGGGATGACTCCTGGGTGTTTGTGTGGAGCAGAGCATCTCAAGGAACGGTGAGGCCCCTTTGCGGCAAAGGAAAGCAGGAGCCCAGTTTGGGATGGGAGAACCAAGAGCTCCATTTGGGATCTATTGAGTTGGAGATGGTTTTGGACATACAGAGACACGAAGCAGGAAGCTGGGTAGAGGAGTCTGGAGCTCAGAGGAGAGGACTAGGCTGGAAATATACATTTGTGAGTCACCAGCATATAGATGGTATTTAAAGCCATGAGACTGAATGAGATCACCTAGGGAGAGAGAATATAGACAGAAAAGAGAAGGTCCAAGGCTGAGCTGGCTGGAGAAGGGGGACCCCTGAAAATGGGCGAGCATGGCTCCCACGCCAAGAGGCAGGGGCATGTGTGCTCCGCTGCGAGATAGACAAACCATTAGATTTGGCAAGTTAAGAGGTCATTGGTAGACTTGGCAAAAGTGGCTTCAGTGGAGTGGTGAGGACGAAGCCAGGTCGTTTTAAAGGTGAAGGAGCAGAGACAACAAGTGTAGACAGCCCCTTAGGGGTTGTCTGTCTATAATGATGTGCATCCAAGAGTTCTTTCCCCTGTGATATTCCTGAGGGCAGAGACCTGCCCTGGTGATTTCTATCTAAGCCATAAATGGAGGCCAGCACAGAGCAGGAGCTCAATACATATACTTAGTGATTGGATGAATAAATGAATGAGAAGTCACTGCCTGTGTCAAAGGAGCCTTTTCTGGGGGACAGGGCAGCTGCATCCTTTTGGGGCAAGTGAGGAAACGGCAAGATCCACTCCAATGGCTAAAGGCTCTGGACCCCTTCCCGCGGCTAAACGGTGGCAGCAGCCTCAGACAGGCCTGGGCTGGGAACCCTGGCCCGGGGTCAGGAGCCGGACTCCAGCCGGACTCCTCGCTGCTCCTCACGTGCCTGACTTCCGGTAAGTCACTTCCTCTTTCTTAGAAGAGAGAAGTGTAGGGGAAAGGGGCCCACAGGAGGTCCCGTAGATGTTAGTCTGTCTCCTTTTCCCCCATTTTCTCCTCCCTGAGCTTTACCGTTTAGGAAATAGAAGCTGAGAAGGGCAAGGACCTCCCCAGGGGCTACTGTGAGGACGCTTGAGAGGGTAGCCCCTGAGGGCAAGAAAGAGGAGGGGTGGGGACCCAGGGGAGGAGGGCGCCTCCATCATAGGACAGAGGACCTCCCAACATGCCATAGACACATGCCCTGATTTGGGGGAAGTCACAGAACCGGGACTGCCAGAGACTCTTGAACAGGCATCTGTGTAGTTAAACCAAGAAGACCCTGAACTGTCCTTGGGCTTGGGTGGGGTGGGACACATCTGTGACAGACAGGCCCACCTGCCAATCAGAGGAGAGCTAACTCTTAAGAGGCCCGCAGGATTGACAGTGGCTGTTGGGAAGGGACAAATAGAGAAAAGCGGGGATTGGAAATGGGAAATGGGATGGCCCTTGGGGGCGCCCACCCAGAGAAAGGAGCCTGCGAGGACGCTGTGGGTGACCAGGAGACAGGCCTCGAGATGGGCGGGGCCTTTCCTCTGACAATCCCCGTGCCTGCAGTTCCCGCAGCAGTACCTTTTCCTGCAGCACCTGCGGGAAGAGGCGGGAGGAGGGCTTGGAGGAGCGGGAGCGGTGCCCTCGCGGGTGGGAGGGAAACAGGAGCCCGTGAGCACTGCTGCCACCTAGTGGGACACGCCTGTTATTGCTCCCGGCTCCCAACCCCAGGGTCGTCCTCAGCTGAGCACTAAGGGACCCCTATGCCCTTGAATTGGGGGACCCAAGGCAGGCGGGGGGAGCCTCAGAGAGGAAAATGCACAGCCCTGGGAAGTGTGCGTCGCCCACATTACTTTGCCCCTCTGTGCCTTGGTTCCCTTGTCTGTATAATGAGGACAGGCTTGCTGTGATGGGTAAGGGAGTCCATGTAGAGAGGGGATTCCGGGGGTAGCTGGAGGTGTTTATCCCTGCCCCCCACCCCAGGAAAGACTGTGCCTACTATACAAAGGCAGCTCTCCTTAGTCCCAGCTTCCAGCAAGCTTGCCCCAAGTCCCTCCTATTTCTAACTGTTGGGCCTGCCCCTGTTACTGTTTTATCGCTGGCATCACCCCAAAGGATGAAGGCCCTGGGGGAGATGGGGGGGTCGGTCCCAAAGCGTCCTCTTCTGATGTGGGGACTTGGGGGGAGGTTCCCAGCTCCCAGCACTTTCTCTCTCCCTTCACCCCAGAGCTCTTGCTCAGAATGGCCCCAGGCTGTGACATCACAGAGACCCCACCCCAATCACAGGAGTGGAAGGGTCATGAGGCTGTGGCAGTGGGCGTGCGGATGGGTGTGGCTGGTTGGGCTGGGGGCCATAGAAACAGGTGGGAAGCTGTCCTGGGAGCAGTGGGGAGGAGGAAGTCTTGGGGTGAAGGATCAATCTGCCTTAGGAGCTGGGAGGCCAAGCAAGGGCCTGCCTCTCCCTGCCTGTCTCTCCCACCCCACCCCCACCTCACCCTCATCCAGCACGGACCTTCACATGGAGAGCTCAGTTGATCCTTAAGATGTTCCTGGAACAAAATCAAGCCCCTCCCCAGCCACACTAAGGCTGTGTGGCCTGGCAGGGTCCTTGGTCAACCACAGCCTCTTGGGGTGGAGGGCAGGGGTCTGCTTGATTCTTGACATAGACTTTGCTCCCTAGCACCCAGCCGGGAGCGTGCCAGCACCTTGGTCCGGGGAGCAGAGTCTCTGCTCTTCATAGACAGACCTGACTTCTTTGATTACCCAGACTCAGACCAAGCCAGGCTCCTGGCTGTGGCCCAGTTTATTGGAGAGAAACCTGTCATCTTTGTTAACTCAGGTATGAACCCGCTTGAGAAGGGGCCTCCTTCCTTGCCAGGGCCTGGAGAAGAGCTGCCCTTGGCCCTTCCATTGGAGAGGAGGCAGGGTCCCCATCTTCCCCTCCTTGTCTAACAGGATCCAACTCCGAGCTCTTCCATCACATCCTGGTGGGCTCTCTGGTAGTGGCCTTCCTCTTCCTCCTTTACCAGTTCTGCACACACATGTAAGGCTCCCCTTCCCCGGGGCCCCTCCCACCTCAGCCTGCCTTGGGAGAAGCTGAAGGACCCAAAAGCCTAGGGAGGCAGGGTGTGGCCTCCCACTTCCTGATCTCATATCCCATAGGAGCTGCCAGAAAGGGGCCTGAGGAGCTGGACAAGGGCCCTGGACTCTGCCCTGAGTGCCCAAACCCGCCCTGCTCTCCTGCTGATGAATAAAAGTCTGCTTTTTTCTTGCCTGACTGCTCGGATAACCAGGCAGGAGGTCCTGCCCCGTCCTGGGGTCCTGGGGCCATCCGTGCTTTCCACCCCCAGACCCCCACCCTTCCCCGCACCAAAGAACTGGGTGAAGAGGGCCTTGGTGGCGTTCACGCAGATCAGATCGTCTTTATTAGCGGTCTGGAAAGCACCTCCCAGGGTCCCCTGACCCCAGACTGGAGGAAGCCTTGAGAGGTCTGTAGCACCAGGGACATGCCGGGGCCCGAGGGCAAGATGTGCAGCCTAGTGGGGAAGGGACGGGGTGCCCCCTCACCTGCCCCCGGGATTGCTCAGCACTGGAAAGGTTGGGGGTAGCAGCCACCTCCCTCCCCCCACCCCCACAGACTAGTATGGATTTGGGCGAATAAATAAAATAAATAAGATTCCTCAGGCTGGCCTCCCTGAGAGAGGAGCAGTGGAGGCAGCTAGCCCCAAGCAAGGCCTGCGGGGGCGAAGGGGGGAGGGTTAGTTAGGGTGTCCCACCCCCCTCCCAGATGGTGGGGAACCGAGAGGAGTCTGCAGCAGGGGGACTGGCTGGGATGGCCTTGGCAGCAGGGCCTTCCCCACATCCTCGGAGTCCTGGTCCCCTTGAGTCAGTTTCCCCACGGCCCTCTAGCCCTCACTGGATGGGAAGTGATGCCCCCTTCCTCTGTCCTTTGCTTCCCCAGGGCCCCAGGGTTGGTGATGGGAGAAGGGGTGCGCAGGAAGGGGTTTGCTACCTTCAGCTCAGGCACTGCTGGGAGAAGAGGCACCCCCTCCCTGCCTTTCACCTGGTCCCTGCCCCTCAGCCCCGGAGCAGAGATGTCCCGCCCCTTTGCAGTGCACCTGTCGGTCCTGGGGCCGCCAGTGCAAGAGGGCCCTGGCTCCCACCTCCTGCCCGGCAGCCCCAGAGCCCCGTCCCCAGGGTATGGGGTGTGTGTGGGGGTGGGTGGAGGGTCCCCCGGCCCCACCCTCAGTCCTGGGTCTGACAGGGAGAGGGCGGCGTGGAGCCCCGGGGCCGGAAGAGGCGGCAGGCCCCGCGGCAGATGAGGAAAAACCAGTAGAGCTGGGGGGCCAGGAGCAGCGCGGCGCCCAGGTTGACGTGGGCCGGGATGGCGAGGGGCACGGCGAGCAGCGGCAGGCCGGCGTGGCGCCCGTAGGCCCAGTACAGGTAGGGGAAGAGCAGCACCCGGCAGCAGAGGAAGCTGATCAGCATCAGGGCCCCGTTCACCTTGTGCAGCAGAGTGTGCTGCCGCTTGTACTGCGGTGGGCGGGCGGGGCGGTCAGAGGGCAGGGGGGTGGGGCACAGAGCGGGGCGGTGGGGGGGGGAGGGCAACTCCGACCCCCTTCCCCTCTTCAGCCCCCTGCGCCCCCGCCTCCCCTGACCCCGGCCTGGCAGCTAAAGAATCCCTGAAGGTCCCTGAAAGTGCCCTCCCCTCGGGCTCGCGCAGCCTCAGGCACCCTCTCACCTGGATGAGGATCTTGCCAAGGCAGACGAAAGGGGTGCTGACCTCAGCCATCAGCAAGCAGCCTAGGAAGAAATCTCCCTTGCCCTGACGCCACACCTGCGGAGGAGAGGGAGAACTAGCCTGGCCTCTCCCTGGACTCCCTCCCTCTCTTCTCTGGGGCCACTTTTGGAGATGCTCAGCTTGGAAGGTCTGAACACCTCTAGTGTACAGAGGCCAAGCTGCGAGCATGACGTCACCGTATCCTTCCAACCGTCCCGTGCAGGAGACTCTATACCTTATGGCACAGCCGAGGAAACTGAGGCTCAGAGATCTGCAACCACAGCTCCCAGGCACCACGGCTGGGCATATCCAGCCCGGGCCAGGCTGAGCCCAGACCCTCTCGCTGTCTGGGGCTGGCCTGGTGCTCAGAAAACCCTCTGCGGGAACTCTCCATCCTGGGCCTGCCCTGCTCCTGGGGGACCCGGCCACAGGGCTCCCCGGGTTCCTGCAGCGCTGGCTTGAGCAGGACGGGGGGCCCTGGCTTTCAGCACCCCGACTCACCACCGACAGCGGAAAGCAGACGAGCACCATGACGGCGTGGTGGAGCACCATGAGGAACTCCTTGTGCAGGTAGCCGCGCGCCACGGCCCAGATGCTGCCCGGGGCTCTGGCCCCCCCTTCATCCCCTCCGTGCCCCTTGACCTGGTGCTTGTGCCAGTGACAGAGGAACATGGCGTAGATGTCGTAGATGAAGTAGGGCACTGCAAATTGCGTGTAGGCAGAGGAAAGCCAGTGTCTGTTGGGCAGAGAGAGAGGGGGGCATCAGAGAGGAAAGGAGGTGGACAGAGCAGTGACCAGGTGCCGGGGTCAGCACTGGACGTACCACCGGAGCAAGTGATATTCACAACAACCCTGAGACTGAAGTGGACTCTCGAGGTCTGTGATGGAACCCAAGGGTAGAGGGCAAGAAACTGGCCCAAGGTGGGACGGTCACAACGCTGGTACGTAAGAGTGCTGGGAATCAAACCCGGACTGTCTGACCTCAGAACCCACCCATTTTTCATATTCATTCATTCATTCATATTCTCTCTCTCTCTGCAATATGGGGAGAGGTGAGGTAGGGAAAAGACACCAAAGGGCAGCCACAGACCACAGGGCAGTGACAGAGAAAGCAAGCTCAGGCAAGATCTGAGAGACAGCTGAGCTTAGGACAAATAACAGCAGAAGAGGCAAGAGCAGTGGAGAGGGATCATATTGGCTGACATCCACTGACACGCAGGCACTGTTCTAATATCCAAAATCTTTTACATGCATGAACTTATTCACTCCCCGCAGAAACCCTATACAAAGTGGGGATGGTTACCACCCCCACTTTACAGATGAGGAAACTGAGAGACTAGGTGACTTGGCCAAGGAATAACCAACCATCGGAAGTCTGGCTCCACTGTCCCTAGAAGATTCGAGACAGGTGTCACAGACAAGCCTCCCTGGGGACTTGGCGGTGCCATCAGCACTGCTTTTTCTGCCTGAATATGGCCCAACCTCTTGTTTTTGTTTTTGTTTTGTTTTGTTTTCAGGTACAGCCAAGCATTAAGGAGAAAACACTGAGCAAAAGGAGCCAAGAACAGAGAAAGTTCCTTGTACTTTGAGAGTAAACAAAAATGAAAAGTGCGCGAATATGCAACATTGCATGTTTCTTCTTGACTCAGCACGTTGAGCACTTTCTCTTAAATGCTGTAGCCCCGTGGCAGGTCTGAGGTGGGAGTGCGAGGTCAGGGAACTGGCCCAGCTAGGTGGAGGGATGAAAGCAAAGTCAGCCGGAGTAATGAAGAAAAGGAGCTGAGACCCTATATGAGTTGCTGCCCAAGGGAGAAGAGGAATGAGGGCCTGGGGCGGGGAGGGGGGAGGCCAGCGAAGGATCGGGTGAGATGGAGACAGAACGCAAACCCTAGGAAGACTGCCTGCAAGGGGACAGGCAGCCAACTCTAGCAGGGATGATTTGGGGCAAAGAGAACCCCAGACCCATGCTGGAGTTTGGAGAAAGGGAGAGAGAAAAGGGAGCAGAAGCCCAGGTTAGACAAGCAGGGAGAGCCCTGGTGGAAAGGGGTCTGACTGGCCCAAGCGGAGTTGGAGCAAGAGTGGCTGGGAGAGCCAGCTCCAGGAGCCATGTGGCTTGTGGGGGGACTAGTCCTGGTTTAACTTGAAGAGTTAAACCCATCCGCACACTCTCAGCAGTTAGGTGCTCAGGAGTAGGAACAGCTGTTGTCCCTGGATTAACCCTGATCTTCCCCCACCCACCTGAGGATTACCGGGGAAGGGATGAGAACAGACCTGGGGGGGGGGCGCGTGGGAGGGGAGGAAATGTAAGAGTGGAAATGTGACCTCTGTGTGAAAAGATGAGAGCAAGAAGTGCCTGGGAATCCAGGCTCATCTTAGACCCAGGGGTGGAGCAGAAAGGCAGAGGCGAAGAGGAAGCCAAGTTACCAAATGGGATCTGAAGAAAGAGTTAAGCGCCCGCTGTACAAGAGCCAAAACTGCTTTAGGCATCTGACTCCTGCAGCTCAATGCTTCCTCAGGGTAGCCCTTCCAGGAAGGGATGTACCCCACTCCACAGATAGGGGAACTCATCTGTAGAGAAAGAGGGGCGCCGCCAGGCCAGGGTCCTCCAGACAATGTTCCTGCGGCCCAACAGTCACCAGAGAAGGGGGTCAGGGCGGGAAGTTAAGCGCGGAGCGTCTTCAGCACCCTGCCGGGCCATTCGGCAGCAGCCCGCGGGTCACCTGGAGCCGGCCCGTCAGCACCACGGACAGGGCCCCTCTCCCTCCTCCTTCGGCCCCACCTCGCAGGCCTGGGCTTTTTTGGCAAGCACCAGGCACTGCGGCAACTGCCAGTGCCAAATTCTGGCCTCTTCACCCTTCCCCTCCCCCACCCCCAGCCCCCCACGGCCCAACCGTTAGTGGCCTTGTCTCTGTCATCTCTCTCCTGTCTCCCTCTTTCGCACAGAGCTGGAACTGGGCACCTGCACTCGGGGAGGAGCAGAAGGGTGAGCCTGGCATGAGGAGGGAGGCACCCCAGCTGGGTGCTGGTTAGAAAGGGGGTCTGAGGGACGTAAGGGAGGGAGGAAGTGGGGAGGAAAGGGCGCACAGGACCTACTACAATATGAGAGGCCAGGAAGCCTAGGAGCCGCTCTGACAATCCTTTTTGATCCCCACTCCTTTTCCCCCTGGCTCTGACCTTAAAGGACAGGACATGGATAAATTTATCCCTGGGTGTTGAGTTGCAGCTAATGCAGTTAACTTGCTCAGTCCCAAGTGAAGGGCTTGGGGACCACTGAAGGAGTCCCCTGGAAGACCCGGGGTCCTCGGGAGTCACACACGCACACGGGCTGCGGGAACTTGGGCCAAGGTGGTCTCCTGGCACTTACTGGTCATCAATGATGTGCTTGCAGGAGGTGGAGACGATGTAGCCAGCGGTGGAGGCCATGACGGCTTGGACAGAAGACACTAGCCTACGGAAAAAGAGGGAGCAGAGGTAGAGGAAGGAGACACAGCCCTCAGTTTCTCCTCTTTACTGTCCTGTTACTGCGCCTCGGGCCACTCTCTGCCCGTCTCTGCCTGAGGCCGGCTTGCCCGGGGCTCGCCCCCCACCCCAGGCTCCAGGACTTCCCGCTGCTACTCCTCAGTACACCCCATTCCTCCCTGCCGGCTTCCTTCCCTTGGTCAGTCGTGGACACTGAGTGGCCTCAGGAGGACACCAGGGCGGTCATCTTGAGGTGAGACAATGCTGATAACAAGGTCTCTTCCCCGGGAGGGGCAGCACAGGGACAGCACTGGATGGCAAGGGGTGCCCCAGGCCTGTTCTCACAGCACTCAGCCACCCAGTCACCAGGCCACTCCTCGGTGACCCCAAATTCCCCTGGCCACTTTCCCGCTCACTCTTTGACTGTCCCCATGCTCCCCGCCCCAACTCCGGCCCTCATTCTATAGCTTGTACAGAGTTCTACTGTTCACTCCTCTGTCCCTTGTACCCCCAAACATGTGCCCTGACTAATACACAGCTCTCTGCCCCTTGCCTTGTTCCCTAATATCTTATAGGAATGTTTTAGTCACATGCTGGTCCTGTTTTGGAGGGTGGGAGGGTGAATGGGGGAGAGGAAAGAAAAGCAGTCTGGATACTAGTAGACCAGATGGCTGGGTTTGGACGAGGTCTCCTGGGACAGTGAGTAAGGCAGTGAGGGGGACCGGAAGCTTGGAGGTAAAGCCCACCAACCACTTCAGGAACCACCAGTCCCTAATGGGCCAAGGGTCCAGGGAAGGACTGGGGTCCCTTCCACCCCCATAATGCCTGAGAAGGGGAGAGGGGCCGGGGGAAGGGATGCAGTTTACCTGGCTGAGACAATGACCGCGTCAGCCTCCTCCCAGCGCAGCTGGGGCAGCCGCTGGAGCGTGTTCTTGGAGAGGAGAAAGAGTCCGGGGAACACCACCCCCCCAGCCACCATTGGGGTCAGCATGGTGGCTCAGGCCTCGGGCAGGGAGGCTGGCGGCCGCGAGGGGACAGGGAGGCCGAGCTGAAGGGAGTTAGAGGTGGAGAAGGGACACCAAGCCAGGGAGGGAGAGAGAAAAAGAAAAAGGGGCACAAAGGGGACAGGGCGGGGACGGGATGGGGCAGGCGAGTCAGACCAGAGGAAGGCAGAAAGGGAGTTAGATGAGACCGGGGAAATGGGGAAAGACTGGGTAGAGGGAGGATCCGGGAAAGGGAGCCGGAGGCAGCTGGCCAGAGGGCTGGAAGCGAGACAGGAGGAGAGGACTTGATAAGAGGACAGAGAGGGAAAGGGTACCGGAGGAGGATGCGGGTGGGGGAGGGGAGGGAGAGGAGAAGCAGGTGGGGAGGGGGGGCTTACGTGGGGAGGCTGGGAGGACCCGAGGAGGCGGGGTGGGACTGTGGTGCCAGCCCTGAGAGGGAGGGGGAGAGGGAGGGAGGGAGGAGGGAGGGAGGGAGGGAGACAAGAGGAGCGGCCCGGCAAGTGGTCAGCGGTCAGCTCGGCTCTCCCGCCTCTCGCTGCCACCACGGTCCCCGCCGCCCGGCCCGGAGGCTGCACGGGGCATTATAGAGAGTTCCTGCCCAGCCCCCTGCCCCCTCAGTGGGGAGGGGGAGGGGGAGGGGGAGTCACCAGCTTGGGGAGGGCGGGGGAGGGGTGGGGAATGATGGCACCGACCAGACACCAAGAAACCGGACCTGCAGCAGCGTCTCCCCATGCAGCTCTGAGCCACAGCAGCGGCTGCGACAGAGATGGGGGGGAGCAGAGAAAGAGGGAGGGGGAGGCCCTTAAAGAGACAGCAGCTGCAGCACAGGGGGCTGCTGGGGACATGGGCCAAGGGAGGGTGGGCTCTCCTCTTGGGAGGGAAGGTGGCCCTGGGCACCCTGGCCAGCCGGGACGGGGCCCTGAGCCCCCAGATGGGGGCTTGACCCTGTTTCCCACCAGCACATTGCAAATGCCTGCCATTTCTTCCTCTGCCAGTGCCTCCCAATGCTTGCCCCTCAGTGGCCTGCTGGGGTCCCAGTTTAGGGACGCCACTCCAGCAGAGAGAAAAAGGATTCCTTTGGGGAGGGAGTGAGACAAAGTTGTGCATCTTGCTGTCTCTGAAGGATGGGTTTAAGGACCGGATGAGAATAAAAACACCTCAACACAGCCTCCTGCAGGCTCAGAGACACCCCCCCCCCATATCCTTCACTCCAATGGGAATGGGGAAAACTATAAGGTATAGGTGAGGTGCCTCTAGATCGAGTCTTTGCTGCAAGGCTGTCCGGTGATCCTGTCTACCAATTGTAATAGCACTGAGGTAACAGCACTTGTCGTGTTCTTACGGGTCAAGGAATGGTCCTGAAGCCTTCGGTGGCCCTCCGCAAGGTCACACAGTTAGAAGAGGCAGGAGCCCTCCCATGCTGGGTATCAGAGTGGTTGCCGGGTTTGAAGAGGGTGAGGAAACCCTGACTCTCTGAAAACCCACCGGGAATGGGAGGATGCTCCCGCCCTGTCCCTCAGGCTACCTGGCCTCTCCTGGCCTCCCCTAAGCACTGGTCACTTTCTTTTTCTTCAGGTCTATTATCTTCTTGGCTCCCCTTCCATGGGGGCTTCACAGAACAACAGTGGGAAAGGTCCTTCCCCAGTGGGAAAGGACCCCCAGGGATTAGCTGGTTCAAACCCCTCATTCACCTGCGAAGAAACTGAAGCACAGTGACTTGGCCAGGGTCACACTGTATATCCGAGGCCCAGCTGGAACCCCTTTGGCCTCTGAGCTGCTTCTCACCCTTTTGTGCTGCCTTCCTGGAATTTGACCTTCCTATCCTGAACCCCACTGTCCTCTGGGCTTCTGCATGATGTGGGGCCTGTACCCAAACCGTACTTTGGTTTCCAGGCCTACCCTAAGGTACACCTCAATAAGCAACCCCACAATTTGTCTTTGCCTGTCCAAAGACCATTCCATTTCCTCCCCAGAAGAGAGTCAAAGGGCTGGATTTGCAATTTTGTGCTGCCCTCTAGTGGCACGCGGAAGGAACAGACTGAGAGGTCTCTGGCCTTTGGCAGGAGTTAGGGACAATTTAAGGACAATAGTGCACCTAGCTTCTTGACCTCAGGGCTAACCCTAACCCTAAGGGGGAAAAGGACCCAACTTCTTGAGTGTTTACTACCTGCTGGGCGTGAGGCAAGGTGGTTTATGTTCATTCTTATTTAATCTTCCCAGATGGTAGTATTTGTTTTATAGACAAGAAACGGGTTCAGAGACTTAAGGAAAAAAAAAAAAAACAGACAAAAAACTTGCCCAAGATAACACAGCTATGGGAACTGGCAAAACTGGATAGCTCCAAAGCCAAAGAGCAAAGCTGAGTTTGCAGGGAGGATGGGCGATGGGTAGAGCACCGTAATGTGACTACTTGATTCGGGACTACAAACCTGGTCAAGTCGTGGCTTCTCTCTGGATGACGTGAATTACGGCAGGCAGACACACTGTTCTGTCTTCCAGGAATTCACCTAGACACCCAAGTAAATTCTGCCTTCTGCCTGCTCCCTCTCCTACCTAAGTTTCCATGATAGCTCACACGCGTATTAAGCTGTGTCAAACAGGTCATAAATCGGCAGCGGAAGGGCCCAATCCGGCCCACAAACATGCTTTCTTCAGCCAGTATGGTGTTGCCAGGATAGTATTTTCTTAAATTCTAACTTATTTGTCAGTGTTTGCAAATTAGGAGATTTCACATCAAAGCTCAACTTCTTTTAAGAAAGAATCAGAAGGTCAGACAACATGGAGCCCACGATCTAGCTCCATAATGCTGGGCTGGGGCCGAGCAGCTGTTACCCCATTCGATGGGCTGAATGTTGAGTCCTCCAGCTCCCCAGTAATCCTCCACAGAGCCTAGAGCCCTGTTCCTTGCAGAAGTCGGCCACCCCTATTTCACAGACATGAATTCACCTGATCCTCACACGAGGTCTCCATGAAGACCTGAAGGTGGGTGTTCTTAGTAAACCCATTTACAGGTTGGGGGGGGGGCTCTGAAGTTCAGAGAGGTTAAATGACTTGCAAAAGATCCCATAGCCAGTTTCTTTTGACTTTTAATTTCCCCCCGCTTGTGCATGCAAGCGCGCGCAACGCGCGCGTGCGCGCGCACACACACACACACACACACACACACACACACACTGCTTCTGCTCCCACCACTAACTCTTCCTGAAAGCAGGAGCTCAGCTCCACCAGGCCTGGCCCAGGAAGGACGCCCTCACCCTGTCTTCTTACTTGGACGCCACCAAAACAGCCTCCGCTCTCTCCATCCGCAGGTTGGAGTGGTTCTGCAGGCCCCAGCAGAGGACAGTGAAGCTCAGTGGGAAGAAAATGCAGCCCAGTACAAAGAGCAGGGTCATGCCTGTCTAGGGTAGAGAAGATGAGAAAAGATGAGCATGAGAATGCACAGTGTCCCTCGGACCCAGAGACTCCCTTCACCCTGATAACCCAATGGCCCTATGGGATCCATCCATCTGTAAGCCATCAAGCATTGTTCTTCCCTAATCTCTTTGGGATTTTTTAAAACCAGATTTTATTAATTTCAGAGGGAGAGAGAGAGAGCATGAGCAGGTGGAGGGGGAGCAGAGGGAGAGGAAGAAGCAGACTCCCCACTAAGCAGGAAGCCCAAGGTGGGGCTCAATCCCAGGACCCCAGGACTGGGAGATCATGGCCTCAACCCAAGGCAGATGCTTCACTGACTGAGCCATCCATGTGGCCCTCTTTGGGATCTTTATTGCACTTTAAATATCCCTCATCCAGGACAGTTGGACATCCTAATTTTTTTTTTTTTATCAACCCATTCCAACAATTTCATTCATTTTCCCTGTAATTCCTGGAGCTTGTCTACACCTCCCAATCCATCTCACACTTTAAAATTTCTTCTCTTCGTCCTTCAACCCTAAGGATGTGCCTGCCCCTTCTTATTAACTCCACCCCATCCCATCCTCTGCCTGCCTACAAGCTCTTCCGGTCACCTCTCCCTCCTCCTAGGTTCTCACCTCTGAGGGGCAAGGTGGAGGCTACAGAGGGAGGCTGGTGATTCTCATCAGCACCCAGAACTCAGAAAAGGGAAAGAGGGTGTTCAAATTGTAGAGATATTTGAAATTTAAAAATAATACTTTCTTAAAAAGGAAAAAAAAAAAACCAAGGCATTATCCCATTAACAAAGGAAAAAAAAAAACCAAGAAACAACAGAACCCCTGAAAACATACATGTTTACATATGTTATTTTTGTCTGGGAAAGCCTCCCCTCCCATCCACTCCAGGGAGGGGAGGGGTGCAGAAGTCCCAGGGGGTATGCAGGGAGTTGGGGCCCTCCATCCTGCATCTCTTAGGCAGCTTGGAGAGGACCTCCTTTTAGGACACAAGGAAGGTGTCAAACTGCAAGGGCACGAGGCAGAGGCAGCTCGGCTGGAGCAGTTGAAGAGGGCAGGAACACCACGCTCCCATTGGTGGATGGGTGGACGGTTTAGAGCATGCTCTCCTCCCATTGGCCCACCACTGGACACATGTGCCCTTTCATGTGCTTCCTGGCAGAGGGGCCTCCCCTAGGGGGTGGGCTGTGCGGGACCTTCTAACGCAGAACTGACCAATTAGAATTCGTCAATGGCTCGATGGACAGCTTCGTTTTGGGCAGAGCTGAAAAAGGAGCAAGGAAAGGGAACGAGGGGGGAGAATAAGAACCCCCTAAGGAGTCGGGCTTTAAAAGGCAGTACAGTATAAGGTAATGGTTAAGATGGCAGTTTCTAGGGTGGGACCATCTGGGCTTCAGAATCAGACTGCGGATAATAAAAGAAACGGACTGTATGGCTCCATTTGGATGAAGTTCAAAACAGGCAGAATATCTTCAGTGAAAAATCAGAATAGCACTCAACTTGGGGGGTAGGTGTTGACTGAGGGGAGACCCATGCGAGCCTTCTGGTGTTGGGAATGCCCTTATTCTGATCACGACTGTACACATAGGTAGGCGTGCCCTTAAAATGTGTGCACTTTATTTAAATTAAGCTGGAATTAATTTTTAAAATGCTAAACAAATTTAGGCGCTTCTGTTCCCTGAATGATGGTGGGCCAGTCTCTGTGGACCTCAATTCTTCATCTGTGAAGCTGGTTTAATAATAATTCCAGGTCATTAAATGCTACTTATAGAACATTTACTATGGGCCAGACACTGATCTTAGTGCTTAAAAATATCAACTCATTTCCTCATTAACAGAGGAACAGCTTTGTGGGTTATTATTGTGTCTATTTTACAGAGATGGGAAAACAGAGGCACAGAGAGGTTTGGTACCTT